TTGATTCTAATAAATCAATATTATTAAATTGCTATAACCATCACGCAAAAAAAAAGAAGCTAATAATGAATTGAAGTTGAACCTGTTGATATAATGCTGAATCCAGTTATTACTCTGATCTCAGTGATGCTTACCTTGGTCTCTGCATTCCTTTTCTTGGAATTTATGCGAATCTCTACATGTTGTTGGCACCGATGTTCCACTTTTACAGGATTCTAATCAGATTAGGCATTACAAAAAAAAAAACAAACAGATAAAAGCAAACACAGAATTAGCCAGCAATTTTTTAAGATGAAATCTCTTTAATCCTTTAGCAACCTTTTAGCTACTTTGTGTTATCTAAAAACTGGATTTTAAAAGTCGGTTAAGGTCATTGTTAGGAGTTTCTTTCGCACACTGAAAAATAAAGTACTATTTAAGAAAAAAGAAAATGGTATCTTTTAAATCGAAGAGGCACAGTGTTTACCTGATGAATTCAAGCAGTGTTTTCCTCCAAAGACGTGCATAGGGTGCATAGAAACATAGCTCCAAACATGACGTTTTGGAATGTAAAGGAGGAGATCATCATTTTCTTTAACTTGTGGCCACTCATTCCAAAATATTTCTGCAAATTAGAATAAAAAAAACATTTAACTTCATTATTTACATTTATGATGGAGGCTTTGTGACAAGATATAATTTCTAGGTGTAACTTTTTAAGCGTAACCTACCTTGTCTAGTTTCGTTTTTCTGAAGGAATATCAAGCATTGTTTTCCCTCTGATAAAAAAAAAATGTTTTTTAGTTTTCAACAAAAGTTACCAAACAAATGAAATAGGCTGAATCTGTATAGAAGAGTTGAAAACATCCACAAATCAGTTAACATGAAAATAATCCACAACTTGTTTTTCAGCTTAACAACAAACTGTGTGAAATGTAATATGAATACTCAGTTACTTCAGGAAAGGTATTGATAAATTATTAAGATATAGACAATAAGAAATTTTTGCAAATGTTGGCATTCTTACCAGTATCAAAAATGGTTGCATTAATGATCAGCTGTAACAGATAAGAAGCAGTCCCATTCAGATTTTCCAAACCTGCACAAAATATGTAATTTTAAGACACTTTACCAGACAAACAGATCAATTTCATATCTACTTTTGTAAAGTATGAAGAGGACAAGAGAAAAACATATAAAGTCGCCTAATATACATCATCCTTCAACATATTGTCTGCTTAAACTTATTTTCTGGCAATTCCTTACTGGTAGTGACCATGTTGGAACTAAAATAGTAATAAAGCGACCATAATTTTGATAAAAACTTTAAATAACTTTAATAAAAGCCGACCAGAAGTTAATCAGGACAGCATTAAAAGGATGAAGGAGAGACTGTCTGCTTAAAAAGTGATTTGTCATTTTGACAGCACTATGTTGGAGGGTTGAATATGTGTTTCCCCAGAGTAACTCTCTAATGGTCTATAGCACGAGTTTAACGTACATTAACATTAATATAAAACAAAAATAAGTAACCAAACTAACAATGTGAAACTTTTCTGTTTTATGTAACAAAAAAGATTTAGATAAATTTAGTACATTTAAATAATTTTATTTGTGCTCTTACCAGGACTCCAATCGTTTGAGAAGGTATTGCAAGCTTCAGTGTTAACCACCACAGCCTCAACGTTTTCTGTTCAGTTTAAAGAATATAAAGCTTAGTTCAGAAGACACTGCCTGCACCATAACAAAAACTATTTAGCAATACCTCAAATGAAAAAATAACTTCTTTTAAACTGCAACTGAGACAAAAACTTATGAATATGAAAAAAAAAGGTTTCAGCATTAAAAGTGGCTGATATATATATATATATATTTTTTTAGATATTTGCAGAGGTAGATAAGAAAGGTTTTTCATTTAAAACGGGGTCAGATCAATAAGCTAGCCCATCAATCAGTGCACCCTGCCAGAATAACCTTGTTAATACAAGATTATTTGGAAAATGTTCACACACTAAACAGGAAAAGAGGGAGTGGAATAATATAGCTCTAAAAAAAGAAAACTTTCAAATAGCTGAGGCAATCATAGACTATATGTTTGAACATTCAGTTCATCCTGGGACTGGCCACTATAGGCCTGGATTCCATAAAATAACTTTACATTTTTTAACTAATTACATGTTAAACCTTTCAACAGCAAAAATCCTCTAACATAAATATGTAACACACATCAATGTTCTTACTAGAGGTGGGCGATACCGGGATTTTTTAATCGATCCGATACCAAGTAAATACTGGGTCAGTATCGCCGATATCGATACCGATACCGATACTTTTTACATTTAAGCTTGATGTATCATGAAACTGTTGAGCTTTTGGTGTTTTTGTGATTTTTACTTTATTACAATTTAACAATGGAACAATTGAACAATGGAACAATTGAACAATGGAACATGAACAAAACAAAATTAGAAAGCATTTTAAAACAAAATCTTCTGACAAAACAAAATTAGCACACTACAACAAATACTGTAAACAGTTGAGCACTCACCCAGCAACCGGCAGCGCGGTTGTCTGTGTGACGTAGTGCTGAGTGGGCAGGCCAAGCTAAGCCTGCGCGCTGATTGGCTGGCGCCGCTGAGCCATGTGACTGTAGGAGAGGGGAGGGGGAGCAAAGTGCTGTTACACATATGGGGAAACTGGTGACTCCGCAGCAGTCAGCGCGCGCGAGAGAGGATAAAAAGTATCGATCTTGTTAAACGAATATTGTTCAATATAAATACCAGCGTTGGTATCGATAGTATCGATCCTGGGATCGATCCTAAGAACATTTTTTAACAGAGGTGCACCTTATGCCAAGGAAAAATTCATTTAAACT